GCCCGCGGGCCGAATATTCAATGCTGATTACTACCGAATATCCGGAGCCCGAAAAATGGTATTCGGGACAGCCCTAATACCTACAGTAGCTAACTTATTACCTTGTACTAAAACAACATCATATCATGTCAAATGACTACTACATGGACCTTTAGATTGTTTCTCACTTATTCTCAAATGTATCTGTATCTATTTTCTGTAGAAGGAAGTATTTTGGAGAAATTTGATTGTGCCACACATTTACAGATTGCGTAAAGTCCAAATAAATAAGGTCACGTCAGGGCAGCGTCGAGATAAGAGAGTTTGAAAAGCAAAGCGACCTCCTGAAGTTGCTCTGAGGACACTTTTAGTCTCAGCTGTCAGACCTGCGCAGCTTTTACGAGTCAGCGTTACTGAAAAGTCCTTCACCTGAGATGCACACACACACACACACACACACACACACACACACACACACACACACACACACACACACACACACACACACACACACACACACACACACACACAGAGTGAGTGTGATTTGATGTCCTACCATCTCAGAGCTGTCAGCAGCAGAGAAGTGGCTGTCGCAGTCGGTTCCTTCAAAGTGGACCGTCCAAGTACCAGGAGAACGGGGGTGCGGCACTAACCTGCAGAAACCTACCAGACACACACACACACACACACATTAGAGTACATTCACTAAGTGGTAGCTGTAGAGTATGTGTGTAAAAAAACAAATACTGGAACAGAGAGTGCTGCTTCCTCTCTCTTCATGCCAAGTCAGAGTGATGAGAATATGTGAACTTTTCTCTAGTTTAATTCAGGACAATACTTCCATTTCTTTTATTCATATGATGATATCAGAGCATGATACTAATGTACAGTTTTCTGTAGTCAATGCATCACTTTTCCCACTGATACTTAACATAACATGTACCATTTTCTCTAGACACAGTGAGTATCATTTCTCAACTTTCATCTAGTTACGCTAAGCACAATAAGTTTTTGTTTTTTAGTTATGGCGAGCTCAATGTGTTCACCTTTCTCTGATATAGAGAGTATGATATGTTCACTTTTCTCCAGTTTAAGTAGGTATGAAGTGTACAATCTTTATTTGGAGTGAGCACCTAATCTTTTAGATTCTAAAATCACAGTAAATGGCTTGCTTAAATATATACAAAGAAATGCAGAAGACTTGATTCTTTCTTGACAAAATGTAGTTTTATCAGTTAATGCTGGTCCAGGGGAGGGTACCTCTCTGCAGCAGCGGCTCCAGGAAGTCCTGCAGGCCGTTGGGCAGGTTGCGCACCACGTCGCAGGAGTACCCGTCCTCAGGCAGGAGGAAGGGCAGCTGCAGGTCGGGGTCCTCCTCCAGCTGGACCTCCCGGCCGTCACTCCTCGCCAGCTCATCTGCCGTGTTCTCCGCCACCGCCACCACATGGTCTATCAACTCCTACACACGAGCAGAACACACACATTAAACAACAGGCTGGTTCATTACACATGAAGCTCCGGGGAAATGTAATGCAGCGTTTTCCAACATCTGTGCAAACAAATGTGTTAATAACAGCTGACTTAAAGTGCCATTTTTCTACTGCCATCTAAAGTTTGCCTCAAGACTTTAAAAATTCAGAAAGACATTCAACTGAAATGACAGAATTGTACAAAGACTTTCAAAAGAAGGTCTTCTTGCCTTCTGACCTTAAAGTGTAGCGCCCTCTGTAGGCCAATGAGAGAAAATCCTTTTTAAATGTGTGTGTTGTTTAAAATGTTTTTCTTGGCTCATATTACACACTGTTGTTGTGTCTGGAAATATTTCCAACCACAGCATCTGTATATATAATATCAGGGTATCTGCAGGAATCCTGAAGTCAGATGTACCGGTAATTCCCTTTAAGACCTTTTTTAAGACCCTTTCCATACATTTGAAGACCAATTTCGCCACTTGGAGTTTTAACCGGTTACCTTGGCGACACACTTCACCTCACATTGACTATATACAGTATTGATTGTCCTTCCTCCTTATCTTCCAACCATTTGGACGCAGACTTGCATTTCCCCATAATGATGTTGCTTAGCAACCGGCGTAAACGGACCTCCGCACGCTATCAAGCAGTGAGCGTGCGATGTCCTGTTCAGATGACGTCAAATCCAACGGGATGCCATAAATAAACTCCACAGATTCACACTACACACCTACGCAATGATTACATTCAGGCAGACTGTAGAATACAACCTCTTTGGACAATTGATATACTTATTGAAAACAAGCTACAAAATGGAATACCTTGGAAAATACCGTTTAATACTTTTTAATAGCCTTCATTTTGGCTAAATGTATTTATCAACTTTTAATACTTTTTAAGACCCCGCGGACCCCCTGTTATGTATTCAATCTCTGGGTTGTATAACGGACTCCTCATTAATGATTCATTTAACATTAATTATGTTGAAATGGCTGAACTCTGGTTATTGTTAACTGAGATTGAAATGCTGCATTGTTACAGTGTTTGATTATTACGTTGCACCTCCAAAGTACTTTCACTAGAGAAAAGGAAATAACTTTGAAAGCATGTTACATAGGTTTGACATTTCCTGCCTCAGTTATATATAAAAAAGCTGCTTTCAAAAGATGCACACATTTCAAAGTAAGTGGATTTTTCTTTTACAGATCTTTAACAAATGATCCACATATGATTCTGCTTGATGCAGCAAGAGTAAAGCAGGCGCTATATTACATAAAAATGGTGTGTACATAACTCATTCTAATTAAAGTGTAGACATTATAAGCGTGTTTGTGTTTTTAAATGTTCTTTTAAACATCACTTTAAATGGAAGATTTAAAGTGATGTTTAAATCTTCCATTTAGGCCCCGCCCACTCGATCGGATCTGCATCGTGTTCAGTGTTGTCGTCTTACAGGCGGGATGTAAGGCTCGTCTGGAGCGCAGTGGTAGTTGTTCATGAGCGCGTGCAGCTGCAGGGAGTTGAGCTTGAAGCAGGTGTTGTGGATGTTCTGCACGTCCTGCATGGAGTATTTGTCCATCGTCAGCAGCGTGGTGGCCTGGAGGAAACACAGGGGGAAAAAACACTTTAAATGAGCGTCATACCTTTTAAATAGTTTACACATTGTCTGTATATTTGAGGCCTCGTCTAGTGTCCTTAAAATCAAGAGAGTACAGAATATTAATGCATAGCTTGCTTTATATGTTTTACCCTTTCTTTCCCCATAACATAGTCCTTGTCTTTGCAATCAAAAATAATGTTGAATCCAACTATTTACATCCTAAACTTTACTTTAATTTGTATCCTAGTATTTGACTTATTTTTATTACATTTTGGTTTAATTTGTATTCTCTTGGCGATTTAAAGGTCACCTATCATGCTATTTTTAGGCAATAGCATAGGTCTCAGATATATAAGAATATATAAAAAACATGTCTAT